GGGCGGCGCGCGTTACCTTCGAGCCGCGGGAGCTCCCGAGCAGGACGGGCGACGAGGGCCGCGGGGGAGCCGAAGGTGCTGCCCAAATCCGCAGCAGCCCCTTGGCTTCCAGGTCTACTTTTGCGTCCCCTCGGCTCGAAGCGCTTGTGCAGGCTGACTCACGCTGGTGCACTCTCCTTTCCCTGCTCCATAACTTATTCAGTATTTGGTGACCATTATAGTCCTTTTGGTAACTGCTAAGCTTGAGGTTAACAACTTTTTTTGTTTTACATTAACTCAGAGTAGCAGTAGTTCGGGAAAAAACCCGGTTGAATGACAGAAGGCTGAACGGGCTGTCCGTGCTGAAAGGCTCCTCACAAGTATCCTGAAGAAGATCTGGACGAGAGCAACCCGGTAGTATTTGTGTAAGCGATTAATAAAGCAGTATGCTGTAAGTCAAAGCCCTTAACCTGTAAACAGTTATTGCACTGCCTTTGTCTCCTTTTCTAATAGGAGTCTAACTTATGACTCCTATAGAAAATATTATTACATGCAGTATTTGCAAACTTTAAAGATTTACCGTCTTTATTTCATATAATACTCTAACCACGCACAGCATTCCTCGAATGTACTGTTTGTATTAGAGTATTGAGACGCAATGATAAATAAGAGGAAAAAGATTTATCACGTCAGGAATTCTTTTAGTGAATGGAAGTGGATAACTGCTGCAGTCTGAACAAGATTTTAGTTTAATGAGTACACCTCCAAGTTTATGCAATTTACATACAATGCAACTAAGCTCTAGATTTTCCTGTGGTAAATTATTTGTCCACAGGAGTTTCAAAATCTTCACAAATTAAGGATACTACAGTATTGCATTCTGGTTTCAAAATTAGAGGCTATAATATTTGTGAGATCATTTTGTTAGCATAGTCTTGTGACAATTACAAAGCATTTGGAGCACACTCGTATCATAATTCCCTTGTGCTTGATGGTGCATGTTTAAATATGACTACTAGATTATATATTATTTCCCAATGCTCTTTATTAACTCAGAATATTGACATATTTTTGGTGTCAACACTGACAATACTTGAAAAACAATTTGCACTACGTGTCACTATCATTATTTAAAATTAATACCGATTTCAGGAGATTCTATTCCAATCCAGACTTAGTGCTCTCAGAACATCCCAGACCACCCTCATTTTCAATGGAATAGAAAGCTTGCTTGGGAGCAAGATTAGGAAGCACAGTCTTAAGACCATTGGTACTTTTAAAACTGAGCAAATAAATAAAAATACCCCTTTCAGATTCTGATTTATATCAGCTAGTTGGTTTTACTTTACCTAATCATGCCTGGAAAGACTGAAGTATATATGGGGCATATCATCATATGCCATTTTCAGACATCCAGAATGCATTATTTATGTTTATAGAGGATGATAATTGTTATCAAATGCATAATGCTTAAAGGAGTCAATGAGAACATGAGACAACGGGGAAAGAAACTTCTCCATCTTATTTCACTCTGTCTACACTGTGAACAGACTTTTTATAAAAACATAATTTAATTCACACAATTATAGTAAATACACAATTTCTCAGAACCTTTGTTTGAACCTTTGAACCATCTTCTACTGTAGATACTGAGGAAAGCACCGTTCACGCTTAGAAAGTCAAATAGAATTGGTATCACAAAGCAGAACCTCATGCCAGCAATTCCGACTCAGGGCAGATGACAACAATAGACTTGTCCTAAACAGATCTCAGATTAGTTTCTAAGAAAGAAGCATGCGCGTAATCATCATTTGGCAATTTCAGCAGAGGCACCAAGCAATGGTGTCTGGAAACTCTTCTGGAAGTGCCTGTCCTTCTACAGGAGTGCTCATGGCTGGGCACAAAAATTCACATTCTGCTCCCTATGGTGAAAGGTAAGCGGGAAATTTATCCCACCACCATTGTCACTGAGACACGTAATTCATATTGACACAGTAAAACGAGTTAGGCTGGACGAAATACAGTTTTGTTCAACAGTACATACAAACAACGTCTTCCTGTTAAGGTGAACGTACAAAGAGTTTGTAACAAGCTATTGTTACTTATACTAAAAATAATTCGGTGTGCTGAAATCAGTTTTCAGTTTGCTGTATTGCTTTTCTGTTACTCCCTCAAAATACATTTTGAGAAAATTTTTACACCAGACAAATCCTTGCTAACGTCATTAAAGAGTTCTTGTTACAAAAACAATTGTTCAGTGGAAGAATTTTCATGGAAGCCTCTTTATTTATCTTTAACTAGTTACATGCTAAATTAGGACCTGTCAATATGAGAAAAGTGATCAGAACAGCTCCGTATCTCACAGGCGGCAGCTATTGCAGAATAGTTATAGCAGTTGTAGAACACTCTTATTCTGGAAGAAATTCAATATTGAATAGTTAGATACTCTTAAGTACTCTTTCTCCCCCCAAATAGTAACAACATGAAGAAAACTGCCTATATACTTATCAGACTAGATATTTTCATGCCTGCTGTTCACCCAGTAATGTTTTCCCATCCTTAACTTAAACATGCAAGACTGTTGCCAGGCATGTATTTCTGGAAGAAGCTATTCCAGCTAGATGCTGTATCTGTTTCAGAAGTACAATTGGATAGGTGGTTTAAGTAGCTTTTTAAAATGTGTTAAAATATAGACAGTTTAATAAATAGGGAATTACTGGAACAGTCTACTCACAGCTTTTGAATAGTCAAAGATCTGTATCTAAAAAACCTGCATATCCAGCAGGGATCAGAAACTTCTTTGTCAGTTACTACCACTGGCGATGGCAGTGAAAGGAGACACGAACAGCAGGGAGAGAGGTGGTAGATACCAGTAGCAGGGGAAAATTCCAGTGTCGCTATTGCAGGCCGTGTAACACTGCAGAATGGCTTGCACAGTACTAAAGCTTTAAGAGTTTCACACGAACCTTCCTCGTTTCATACCCTTGAGCCGTGGGTTTTCTCTGCTTTTTTATTCAGTATTGCCCATTTTTTTCAGCTACAGAAACTCTGCAAAAAGTAGTTCATTCATCAAGTGAGAAAGGTCGTGTCAGAAGATGTATTGGAAACAACATCTGGATCGATAAGTGAAATTATTCATTTACTGCGTTTGGTTATTTGGGCTTTTGTCAGTTAATCACAGGCATCCTCTGAATGTTATGTTAGTGTCAGGGCTCATTACTAC